CGAGGCATCAGTCCACAAGTCTACTTATATTGCACAGTTTGCAATGATCTTTAAAGTTACCTAACCGGCAAATAAAAATGTGAGGACTGTTCAATTGAAACCCGTTCGCTGCGCTGCTAGCGAATACGACCGTTCTCGCAAGTTATCACGTGCTGTGTGCGCACCAGCAGCCTGTCCTTGTTGCCCACCCCATGATCGACTGCACACAGCAAAGCGGTATGGCGACGCGTCATAAAATTACCCACGAAACCAAAATAGCGCAGTGATCCTAAGTATCCTTGCAGCGCGAACCTTAATTATCGGTTTATACATGCGGTCCCACATGTTCGTCCATATGCAGCCGTACGCTCGCGCTGAACTATGAAGAGCTTACTTACTTAATCCGTTCCTCTTATATCTTCCGGTACCGAGTTTTTTTTTTTATCATTTTACAGATGGTAGGATTCCTTGGACGAGTGATCAGTTCGTCGCAAGGCCTCTACCTACGCACAGGCCAACACAAACAGAATAAACACAAATACCAAACATCCATGCCTTGTGTGGGATTCGAACCAACGATCCCGGCTTCCAAGCGAGCGAAGACAGTACATGCCTTTGACCGCTCGGCTACCGTGACCGGCAACTATGAAGAAACAGCGACAAAATCCAATTCATAAAAACGTAAATATTGACAAAATCATTCCTGATTATGAGGAGCCGGGACAGCTCAGTCGGTAAAGCGGCTACGGGCTGGACAGCCTAAGAATCAGACTTCGATTCTTCGCGATGTCCAAACCGGCTCTGGAGCACACACGGCCCCTTACACATGTGTACTGCAGTCTGTTTCCCTGGGGGTAAAGAAGGCAGGACGTGAAACTAACAACTCACCTCCATCTGGTGTTCAGATTAAGAACTGTGGAGCTATACCTCGACTACCCCTTATGTCTTCATGAACTTCAGCTTTCACGCTGTTACATATTACGCAAGTGATTTCCTGTGTTAATGGATACAAAGATAATTAAAAAAGGTAAAAGGGATAACTCAGTCGGTATAGCGACTGTCTATGGGATGGACGACCGAGGGGTCGCAGTTCTAGTCCCTGTAAAGTCAGAATTTTCTCTTCTCCATATCGTCTGGGGTCCACCCAGCCTCCTATCCAATGGGTACCGGGGGCTCCTTCCCCGGGGGTAAAGCGGCGGAGGCGTGAAGCTCACCACTCACCTCCAGCTAGTGCCAAGGTCAAGAAAATGTGGATCTACACATCCACTCCCCCATATGCCTTCATGGCGTAGTGCTTGATTAGTTAAGCACAGGGACGACTTTACCTTTACTTTTCAAAAGGGTCAATCTGTCCCCGTGCTTAATTAGTGTACGGTGTAACTTCAGCTTTCGGGTGTAAGCCGCATCGAATTCTGAAACTTTTCTGTTTCAGCATACATTGCAGTTGTCATCTTCGGGGTTAAAGTCTCTGTGGTCAGATCGGTCGGCTAAACTGCTGCTGGTCCTCGCCAGCACAGTCCTTCTTGGTTGCGAGTCCCAGTGTCTCATGACTGTGGGAGTCATGCAGTTCGGTCGTCATAGTAAGGGGGGGGGGGTTAGGTAGCCCTTACACACATCACGCGGTGCAAGATGTGGGGGATAAAAGGACGCAGGGCTTCTGAAACCCCACGGATATTAATCTGCCGAAAAGTTTGAAAACCTACAACATTTCAATATTCTGAAAACCCCAAATTACATACAGTAGCTCAGCTACTCAAGAATTTCCATTATTTTATAACCAACAGGTTCCTTACCGCGTTCACTAGAGCCTGAGTCAGATTAATTCAGTCCACATCACCCCATTTTATTTCTCTAAGATCCAACTTAATATTATCCCCCCACCTATGTCCAGGTCTTTCAAGTGGTCTCTGTCCCTCAGCCTTTCCCATCAAAATCCTATATGCATTCTTCTTCTCCCTAAGCATTTTACATGCTCTGCCCATCTCATCTTCATTGTCTTGAAGAGTTCAAGTTATGAAGCTCCTCATCATGCAGTTTTCTCCAACCTCCTGTCACCCTCTGTGGTCCAAATATTCTCCTCAGCACCCTGTTCTCAAACACCCTCAGCCTATGCTCCTCCCTCAAAGTCAGATATCAAGTTTCATGCCAATACAAAACCACAGACAAAATTATAATTAACCTTCCACAAGCCCAAGAATCCCTGCCCAGTCTAATAGTTTAAAATGGTAAAATATGAAATGCCACATGTAAATGGAATGAGTAAAAATGTTGGGATCTCTTCCTCCATTCATATTAAGAAGGATTATTAAGGTAATCAAAAGTACCGTTCAAAGATGGGTACATTTGGATGTCGATCTAATTAATTGAAATTATATTTGACAAAATAACACTGGGCAGATACCAAGGTACCAACATGTGTACTCAAAATGAAATCCAAGATGCACCAAGACGAATCCTATGTTGGCTGGTTACTTGGTGAATGTACTAGATATCATGTCTCTCTAATTCCCTGTGAGGGTACTTCATGCTTTCAGTAAGCAACATTATGCAACAAACGTCCTGTGTGCTTAAATGAGCTCATTCAGTTTGGCGGCTCCGGTTCCCATCATCTGCTGAAAACATAATCTACAACTTCCTAATGATGCAACCTCTAAAATTTTTAGACAAAAGTTCTGCTTTAATGACAATATACACAAAGAACTTCAGATAACAAAAAACGTGCATCTGACAAGTAACACTACTTACTGTCTCACTGTCTACCACAAATCCCCAAATAGACTGCCTTGGGATTAAACCTGGTCATCACAGGCCAGAAAATAGCATTTAACCATCTGAAGCATGAGAATTTGTTTACACTGTCACTATTATGCCAAATTATTAACAAACCAACTCAACTAATTAACATCACTATAATATTAAAACTGCAAACTGGTAATCCAGGCAGTACTGCACATTAGTAATAAGAGAAATACATATACATACATAAACATAAAGTTCCTACAAGACTTGCTATACACTGATAATAAAATTATACATAATATCCAATATAACATGGTAAGTGTTCAATGAAAACCTGTGGAATGTAATATTTCAAGTAACAAATATGATAAAATATAACTGTCCTTCGAATATAACATATAAAATATTATATACTCTGATGCCACGGCATTGGTATAATTTGAAACATTAATTGAACAATGAGGCAGAAACAATATCATGAAAATTTTCATCTGAAATTATATCAACAGAACAGTTTATTAGAGTGCCAGAAACGGTAACCAAATATGCATCCCTCTTTCATGTTCTGTTTATATTATTATCTGATTCATTTAAAAAAAACGGGATCACACGACTTTTGTTACATTCCACATCGAGCGAACCACCACCACCGTCCACACCCTCAAGCATTTTACGAAGCTTAAATACTAATACAATGTACCAATACAAACAAGTCTTACCGTTATTGCAAAAAAAGAGTTAACTTCAGAACCACAATATATACATATGATAAATAGCACTATCGTAAAAAAACATGTAAATCGAACACATGAAGATAATACACACAAACTTCGAACTCACAACCACCTAATAAACATCCCCTACAATATCTGTTTATGTTGGCAGACTGCTGCTAGATGGCAGTGAAACTCAAACCACAGTATGTCCAAAATTACAGAATGAATACGCTAACGGACAACTTTAAATCGATAACAAATGGAAATTTAGAACATGAATACGTGCAAACTGAAACTCAGACACCCCTTCCTATTAAACTACCACCTCATTTTTAAACACCAAAATGATAAAAACTTTTTATATCTTCAGCTGAATGCACCATCACTGTCATCTAATTTCATCACCGAATTCTTTTCACCAACATAACATGCGCTTTAGGGACGGACGGACGTGGGACACAAACCTTCATTACACTGCTCATATTTAAATAATATATATTATATTAGTACACTATCACAATGATCCCGTAATAAGTAGAACGCATTATAAGCTTGAGTGGCCAGTATTCCCTCAAAGAGTCAAGAAAATTCCCGCCTTATGTGAAACTCAAATGTTCTTTCGCGGGTTCAGACGAGCAGACACTAGACACTAACTTGAATCACATGAATCTTGATTACAACCTCATTTCTTTCAGGTGCATTTGAATATTATCCTTTTTTTATTGCTAGTGGGGTGGAACTAAGTCCCTTGTACTGCGGCCAATTCTGGCCTATTGTACCAGGCCCAGATGATAGGTGAGAGTGATTGTGGAGCAATTGGTGGAATGAAGATTGGCAGGGGAAACCCAAGTACTCGGAGAAAACCTGCCCCAGCGCCAATTTGTCCACCACAAATCCCACTTGACCAGACCTCGGGATCGAACCCGGGCCGCCGCGGTGAGAAGCCAGCGACTAACCGCTTGAGCTATGGCGCTGCCTAAAATATTATTCTAGGTCTTCCAATTGATTTCTTCCTACTTCCCGTATTCCAGACTAATTAATTTTAAAAGAGTGAATGTATGCATAAGGGGTAGGCCTAAACCAGGCCTTTGCACCATGACCGTCAGTGATCAATGTTTTTAAATACCGTATAATGCACATCATTTCAGAATTTCATATTGTAAAATTTGAGAAATTTCAACTTTTATTCTGAATTATAAATTATTTTTGAACTTTCTATTTTTATCATCAATTTACACACCTTCTAAAGAACGAAAGCAGAAAAAAAATCCTAAAGAAGTGATTATTTTAGAAAAAAAATATTAGAATGCGGATTGCGAAGGTCTTAAAACACTGTTCTAGATTGTGCACGAAAGAGTCTCGTCCCGTAGAAGTGCTGCGTTATGGGCACCTGTAATCTGGCATACTGCAACGTCCTTCGTATTGCATACCAAGTGAATATAATAAGGCAATTTATTATGGGTTCCGCACCGACCCTAAATTTTGCCGTAGTTCTAGTTATGTTCATACATTAACGTTGGCCACACTGACCAGCGATGATATCAGTAGGTGACGTTCTCAAGAGATGGCACAAGTATTATGAATTCCGTTTCCGGCCACGTTAGACTGAGGTGTACGAAGAAATTTGTAAAATTAGGAAATATTTTATGTGGTAATTTGACATTAGTGAATTTTAATAAGAAAAGTTAGTTAAATGTACATTTGACCTTCCACTAATATGGATTACTGGTCAGTATGGACCTTACTAACAGTACTATTAACTTACGTGTATATGTCGGGTGGAGTGGAATTAACTTTCGAATTGCCCGATAATGCTAAAGAATGCTTCTACCAAGAAATCCAAAAGAACGTGTCATCAACATTAGAATTTCAGGTAAACATTTCAGGTTCATTATTCATACGCCATATTACAGAGGAAGAGTACGTGAAGCTAGTTTACTGGAGACTATAGAAGGTTCTGAGTCCATTTCTGTTTTCTAGGTTGTTACAGGCGGCCAGTACGACGTAGATGTTACGCTGGAGGCCCCAAACAAGGAAATTATTTACAGACAGACGAAAACGCAGTTTGACAGTTACAACTTTATTCCAAAAATGTCTGGCGTATATGTAGTTTGCTTCAGTAATGAATTCTCAACTTTCTCACATAAACTTGTATACATGGATTTTCAAGTGGGCGATGAACAGCCGTTGCCCGGATTAGGCGAACATGTCACTGTCATGACTCAGGTGAGAACATAACCTTTAAATTCCACATCTACAAAATAATTCATTATAGTAAAAAAGAATTCGAATTATTGCTATGAATAATATTGCTTGATCTGTTGTGCATATTCCTACCATGGCAAAAGCTGCATTTAGCAAGAAGAAGAATCTTTTTACCAGCAAATTGGACTTAAATTTGAGGAAGAAACTAGTGAAATGCTAGATTTGGAGCATAGCTCTGTATGGGGCTGAAACATGGACACTTAGGGCAGTAGATCAGAAACATCTGGTAAGTTTCGAAATGTGGTGTTGGAGAAGGATGGAGAAGATTAGTTGGACCGATTATGTGAGAAATGAAGAAGTGTTAATTAGAGTCAGTGAGCAGAGGAATATCCTACATGAAATAAGAAAACGGAAGGCTAAGTGGATTGGTCATGTTTTACGCAGAAACTGCCTTCTAAAAGAAGTTATTGAAGGAAAGATAGAGGGGCGGATAGAAGTGACAAGAAGACGTAAGAAGATGCTGGATGACCTTGGGGACAGAAGAGGATACTGTCGTTTGAAGGAGAAAGCTCTAGATCACATTAAGTGGAGGAATTGTTTTGGAAGAGACTGTGGACCTGTCGTCTGACAGATTACTGATGATGATGATGATGATGATTCCTACCACAGGGGAAGGGATAGAAATATATAGATTCCAGTGATGAATTATGACAGTGTATTAGAGGACTAAGTATCCGAGGAGGGAGTAAGAACTTGAGAATAAAAATGTTGTAGGTGTGACATCATTGTTATTACACAATTTCAGCTTGACTCAGCACCCATCCAAGCATGCATTGCGTGAATGCAACTTTTACAGTAGGTCATGAACAATTAAAGAAGTCTTCTGTTTCATTGTATTGTATTGTGTCTATTCCGTGAGTACTGATAACATTTTGACGTGTTTATGTAGAATACTGCATATTTGTGAAAACAAAAATGAAAGCCTAACTTCGACCACTTCCTGACAGATTTTAATGTAAAGACCTCAAGGTCTTATTTGTAAAAATAAAATTTTAAGGTTGGCAGCATGAATGTGGTGGTAAAGTTCTGAAGTTACTTCAGTCACTGTTAATATGCAAATAGCCACATTTATCTTAAAATTAGAAGATAACACAATATGATGTTAAAAGAAGGGATACAGTTTGATTTCATCCTGTACTCTTTGTAAACCATTGTACCTATCTTTTCTAGATGGAGTCGTCGGCCCAAGAGATACACAAGAGTCTGAGTAGTATAATAGACTACCAGACGCATCACAGACTGCGTGAGGCGCAAGGTCGCAAACGCGCTGAAGACCTTAATGAACGTGTCATGTGGTGGTCAATATTGGAAACATTAGCAGTTCTAATTATCACTGTCGGACAGGTGTTTGTGTTAAAAAACTTCTTTGCAGAAAAGAAACCCTCACAGATGAACTCAAAATAGTAAGAGTACGGTGCATTCTGTGTACATTAAATTCTTGTCGAGAACATTATGTGCCCTTCCAGTTTCTAAGAAGTGAGTCTTGAAATCTGTCACAGAGACCAAAAATGTGTTTAGATCAGTTTTGGGGGTGTTGTTAAAGTAATGTATGAGAATGTGGATGGAGGCAGTTTGTGAGGTTGGAGACTGCCAGTTTAGTTACTATAAATAGGGCATCATATAGAGAATATATCAGAAAGTACTTGAGTCATGGGCTCCAGAAATTGGTACGAGAGCCAGCAGCAGTGTAGCTTTGTCGTCTTTTGTTGTGTACGTTTTGAATTGTTGGTTTTGTCCGTGTGAAATTTGTTTGTTAGAATTTTCCATTTTTCTGCATTTCCATACTTATACGAATCCAAAATTCTGCCAGTTTCAGGGAACGCTAATAATAATGGAGGTACTGTGCATAGTAATTAGTAGATTTGACTTCTTAACAGTGAGTTGTTATGCAAATGCAGAACTGTCTCATGTGCTCTGTCTCCTAGAAGAAACCGAATAGTGTAACAATTTTGGCATGTTTGGTCCCTTTCCTTTAACTCAAAATAAAGGCATAAGGTGTGGTTCATTCTTTTCTAAAACTCTTGTCCCAAACATTTTTCACACCAACAAATATTTAGCAGGATGGGTTTCATGTTTAACTACCTGTTTTCATATTTCATGATAATTCACTCGGTGGTTTTCGAGTCGTTTGACACATATACAGAGCAGTTATAATAGGTGCTCTGCAAGAGAGAGAAGGCACATGAAAGGTATGCAGTTTGTAACATTGTTTGTTTGTACTAATGTTGGATTTGCGTTCTGGAAAAAAAAATACGAACACAATGATTGTGGATTCTTAGAAGTATGAAATATTTCTATTTAAATGAAAACTAATTTAATTTCTTTAAATTTTAACAATAAAATTATGCAGTACAAGTACACATCATATGCAAGTTTAAAAAGGTATGAAGTAATAACAACAATGCAATTAGCTTCCGCTCACTTTAATACGAATTACTTGCAGACAAATTGAGAAAGGCATGGAGAAATGTAAATTATTATGTGGGTTCACAGAGGAGGAATGTAAAGGGAAAAGGCACAGTTGTTTGATTTTACCTTCTGCATCCATTTTGTTTTGGAACACAACCATCACATAAATCAGGTAATACCTGTACTATTACTTTGTAGTGTGCATTCTCATGCAAGTGATGTGTGTCTATTGATATGTGTAATAAAAAATCTTGGCACATGATTATCTTCTCAGTATTGCGTGTCTTTAAGATTGGGTTCCTAAAAGGCACATCAATTTTTATACTGTGATCTTGCCCATTGGATGTGTACTTTAATATTCATGTTTGGAAAGCTTTCATTGGATTTGTATGAGAGTGATGTCATTGATTTGTTTGCTCTAGTTCACAAGGATTAGATGGAAAGTAATGTTGGATATATTGCCATACCACTTTACACAATAAACTGAATTACTCTAACAGTATAAAGTCTTTCTTGTTAATCTTTGTATACTTTACTTGATTAGATTTTAATCAGTTGCTAGTGATGTCATATTCATTCCTGTAACTGCCTGGTTGTTAACCTGTCCTTTGTCGAGGCACTGTGCTCGAAGCCGGAAGATCACAGGTTCAATTCCTGATGAGTTCAGGGGATTTTTTTAATTGACTTATAACCCTTCCAGCCGCACTATGGCCCTTGGGCCAACTCGGCCTCTAACAGAAATGAGTACCAGGAATCTTCCTGGGGGTAAAGGGAGGCCAGTACATAAGGCTGACAACCTCACTGCCATCTGTGAGCCAACTGTCTATAAGGCATGCATGCCATTCATTTCTTTACTGTGAAATATTGCGAACTGCTGAAAAAGGATGCACTGAGTGTGTGTATGAGAAGTTATTGGTACTGTTTTTTACTGACATTTCAAAATGTTGATATAATAGTGGCTTCAGAATTGATATCTCATAACATGGTTGCACCATTATGGGAGAGGAGTTCTGTAATGTGTATATTGCTACCTGAACCCAGCTTTTCAGATTAAAAAGAATTAGATTCTGTAAATATATCTTTGAAAATGATCTTCACTGCAAGAGATGTTCTGGGTTTTTATTATGCACTGGCACAGTATCAACATGTTGGAATACTAGATATTCTGTTTACCAGTAGATTCTCTTATCCCTAATATGCAGTGAATCTGTGACTTGAAAAACAAACATTCCTCTCAAAAATGCCACACAATATATTGCCCCAATAACCTTACTTCAATGTTAATTTCTGTTTTACTCATATTCACTAGTTCTAATGTGAATGTAACCTAACCTGTCATGAAATCTTACTCATTAAAAGAAGTACACCATGTGTAAACCCAAATATTTCTTGCTGAATTATAGATTCTTTCATTGGGATGTGTCACCATATAGCCTAGCAGAAATTTACTGACATTTTTGAGGAATGCACTACCTTCATCTTCATGTTTGCTTGCTCAGCTACGGCCGACTTGTCCGGTTTTTCCGTCTCGAACAACTAAACAAGTCAGCTGTAGCTGAACACAGCATTGATCTGGGACACCACATTCAGCTTCAGAATACCTCCATCCTCGCCACCAAGACCCACTATATGGATCGCATCATTAGGGAAGCAATTGAGATTGAACTACATCCCGAAAATATGAACAGGGATGGGGGCTTTTGTCTCAGTAAGTCATGGAAGCCTCTCATCTGTTCTCTTAAAATCCCCCCCCGGGATATGACGCCAGATCCAGAAGGCTACACAGGCCATGACCGACTAACATAACAACCCCCCCCAGCTTAAGGGTTAGTGCCCAGCCTTTAACCTTGCCTTTCTCTCCCCCAACACAAAACCCTGCTTGTCCCAACTCTTTCCCCCCCCTCCCACACTACTGATTTCACTTGTAGACTTGTCTCT